TGTAAATGATAAACTGTCGCATTTTGATAGTAATTTTCAAAATGCATTGGCTAGGAATGCACCAATTAAGACAATGAAAATAAGACATCGACAAGTGCACAAATTTGCTCGTCTAACCCGAATGCCATCTGATTGGGAGAAATATCGTGCGCTTCGAGATAAAGTTAAATGTAAGCTACGCCAAGCAGAAAAAGATTATGTACACAGTGAAATATATAATAACCCAAATATAGCATCGATGTGGAAAGTCATCAGGAACTGCGTTCCTCGTAAGGAGACCAGGAAACCAAGTTATTCCGGAGATGTTAAGAAATTAGCTAATGAATTCAATACCTTTTTTACCTCAGTGGGGATAAATACATCAGCAACTGCATTGGCATTGCTTACTGAACATGGACTACCCATACTGAATCTACCAACATTTACCGAAATACCTGAGATCGATCAGTTTTATTTCCATTCAGTATCGTGTAGTGAAATAAGTAGGGTTGTTATGTCCTTTTCATCAAATAAGGCACCAGGATTTGACAAAGTATCAATGGCTGTGATCAAGGACGCCTTACCGTACATCCTTCCTACACTTACGCAAATTGTTAATTGTTCCCTGGAAACAGGTGTTTTCCCAACAGCCTGGAAGAAAGCAGAGGTTATCCCACTTCTAAAGGAAGGGGATTATGAAATTCCGAATAATAATCGGCCCGTGTCGTTGTTAGTGGCTGCATCTAAGATCTGTGAACGCGTGGTATTGAAACAGCTAACAGAGTATATGACAAAGAAGAAAAAATTTACTAAACATCAAAGTGGAAATAGGAAGTTACATTTAACCGAAACATTAAACATATTCATCTCAGATTTAATTCTCCAGTCCATGGATCGTAGAGAAGTGATTGCTTTACTCTTACTGGACTTGTCTAAAGCTTTTGATAGCTTAGATCATTTCATTCTGCTAAGAAAACTTTCGAATATTGGAATCTCGAAGCCTGCGTTGTTTTGGTTTAAAAGCTATTTGACAGGCAGGTGCCAATCAGTACGTATTGCGTCAGTGTTATCTGATGAATGTGAAATAACTCGCGGTGTTCCGCAGGGATCGATACTGGGTCCGGTGTTATTTAATATATATATATCAACGACTTGCCTGGTGTACCCAAGGAGTCCAATTTGGAGTCGTACGTGGATGACTCAAAAATATATTTAGCATTCTCAATCAGGGATGCCGAGTTGGCAGCTATGAAACTCACTGAAGACATGCGAAGAATTACCGCCTGGTGCTGTCTTAACAGTTTATTGGTGAATCCAGAAAAAACTAAGTTGCTTATATTAGGTACTAGGCAAATGTTAGAACAGGTACCTGAAAATTTTCAAATAACTATCCTTGGTGAGAATATTACTCCAGTTGCTGTTGCAAAGGATTTAGGGATGATATTGGACTCATGTTTGAGCTACGACGAACATATCGCAAGCGTTGTTTCATCTTGTATCGCTGGACTGGGCCAAATTAGCAGAGTTAAACATATCTTTGACAGAAAAACATTAATTCTTATTATAAATTCCTTGATTTTTAGCAAAATGTATTACTGCTCTGCTGTTTGGTCTAATACATCCCAAAGAAATATCGAGAACTTTGCTGCACGTATTGTTACAGGAACAAGAAAATACGATCACGTGACTCCTGTTCTGCAACAACTGGGCTGGCTTCCAGTTAAATACATGTTAAAATTAAGAGAAGCCATTTTTGCTTTCAAATGCTTGAAGGGGTTGGCACCACTGTATTTGCGTGAGAAGTTCCATGTCAGGTCAGATGTTCATGGAGTTAACACAAGGCAAAAGAACATTTTGGATATACCAATGTACAGATCAGCTGCGGGTCAACGAACATTTCACTATAGGGTTGTGTCCTTGTGGAATTCTCTGCCTCAGTCTCTTAAAAACATTGATACTTTGACTCATTTTAAAGTAGAATACAAACGTATGTTATTAGAAGAATTTTTAACTGTAAGTGGTGTTTAACAGATTTATAGAATATTTTAGAACTATAGCCTATTTTATACCTTAGGTCAAAACTCAAAATTCATTTTTAGATACTTTTATAGATATAGAATTTTATATTTGTAATTAGATCCTGAAAAGCCCAATTGGGAGTATCTAATATTGTATAATAATAATAATAATAATAATTCCGACGCTTACCATTCTTGTGAAAGTGCAATTGTTAAGTTGGTAGATACATGGCTTACAAATATTGAACATGGAAAACTTAATTTATTATTTTGAATTTATTAAATTTGCCACTGAAAAAGACGTACTTTACATATACAAAAAACTACTAAATTACCCTAGTAAGTAAAATGGCAGGGTCACCACAACAGCAGTTGCCAATTACCGTGGGCCCTATGTTTAAATATTTATAAAAAACAATAATGAATGTTCTTACAGTTAAATGCAACAAGAAATTGGTTTGTTCAGCGGACGTCCTCGATTACACTTGATGCAAACTGTTTTGAAAGAGCGCGGATCGTCCCATTGATAATATGACAATGATGCTTTGTAATAATTGAGCATGATTGTTTTAAAAGATATCAGGTTGTTAGTACTCAAACAAAGTTCATCTGCCAAAACGTTCCATACTCTACATGTTCGTACAAAGTAAGAACGCTGATATGTGGTTGTCTTGCATTTTGGCACTACAAACTTTATCACGTTGCTCGCTGATGATCTGGTCGACCTAGTGTTTCTGGCCGTGGGTATAACGGTATGATCTATAATGACTAGTCCGTGAATGATCTTGAAGAAAAATTTCATATCTGTAATATATTCATGTTAATATGCACTATAGTTATTATGCTAATCAGCATATATAAACACTGGTCTGTAGCTTGTACATGTAGTTAGTACTATAATTCAAATATATAACATAACATGGTGTCAGGTGTGGCCGAATTTTCAGCAACAAGATGAACGATATACGAGGGCCAGGCGAGCTCAACTTTGAATCGACCAACTTGTCTGAAGCTTGGGCAAAATGGAAAAGAAGTATGCAGTATTATCTAGTCGCGACATGCAAGGACAGAAGCGAAGACGAGAAAGTCGCTATTTTTATGTGCATGATTGGCAGACAAGGACAAGACATCAGAGATACATTCGAACTTGATGAAGACAAAGACGGTGAAGAAATCGTGACAGTGGAAATACTAATTCAGAAGTTCGAGCAGTACTGCAAACCAAGGAAAAATCTAATCGTTGAGCGACATCGATTTCTAACGAGAAATCAAGAACAGTCTGAGACAATCGACCAATATGTGACTGAACTCAAGACTCTGGCTACAAGCTGTGAGTGGGGCGACATTAAGGACGATTTAATCTGCAGTAGAATCGTAAGCGGGATCGTTTCGACTAGAGTCAGAGAAAGGCTTCTTCGAGAACCCAAATTAAAGCTTACACGAGCGATTGAAATATGTCAAGCAGACGAATTGTCATTACAACAATTAAAGCTATTCAACAACGATAAAGAAGTCGGGGCAATTAACAAAACACGTCAACCGCGACGGAAATATATCCCGAAAAACAACCCAGAAACTAGAAAGCCAAGACAAGATCGAGACGAAAGCAAAACCTGGAAGACTTGTACGAATTGTGGAAATAAGCATCCAAAGCAAAAGTGCCCAGCGTTTGGTCGACAGTGCAACAAATGCAAGAAATTCAATCACTATGCAAAGATGTGTCGCTCAAGCGGAAAATTAGATGCAATCGAGACAAAATATTCAAAACCTGATGAAACCGGCGATGATTTTCTATTTCTTGACACAATAACAGCCGCCGTAGACGAGACAAAAACACAAAGTCAAAATCAAGCAGAATATGCGACCCTGTCGGTGAACAACACTGAAGTTAAGTTAAAATTGGACACTGGGGCAGAAGTGAACGTTATTCCAATCAAAACTTACAAAGCCCTAGCGACCACCACAAGAATACAGCTTAGAAAACCAACAGTTAATCTCGTTGCGTACAACGGCAAGCCAGTCCCCGTGAAAGCTGTGTGTAACTTGCAGTGCAAGTATCGAGGAGAAGAGTACGATCTGGAGTTCTACATATCCGAATCACCCAGTGAGCCAGTACTCAGCATAGCAGCCTGCAAAGAATTAAACCTCGTCAAATTTACTCAGGAATTGAAATCAGAATTGGTAGACGGTAGTTTTTCGATGACAACACAGCAAGTTTCAGAAGACGAATACTCAAAACAAATTCGAAAAGAATATGCTGATGTATTTTCTGGATTAGGCCGTCTCTCTAGACCGTATCATATGGAAGTAGATCCCATGGCAGACCCGGTCATACATCCGCCACGCAAAGTTCCACACCCTCTGAGAGATCAACTAGCTGAAACCTTAGAAAATATGGTGAAACAAGGCGTTTTGCAAAAGGTCGATGGTCCGTCTGATTGGGTTAACTCAATGGTAGTGGTCCAGAAAAAAGATGGAAGTCTGCGTATCTGCATCGATCCTAAAGATCTAAATCGGGCGTTGAAAAGAGAGCACTATCAACTTCCAACAATCGAAGAAATTACAGCTCGAATGCCAGGGGCACGGTATTTTTCCACGTTAGATGCAAGATCGGGTTATTGGCAGATACCCCTCGACGAAGAAAGTTCCAAACTCACAACTTTCAACACGCCATTTGGTCGTTTCCGTTTTACCCGCATGCCATTTGGAATCCGAAGTGCCCAGGAAGTATTTCACAAACGAGTACATGAAATATTCGAAGATATTCGTGGAGTGGAGACTGATATTGACGACATTCTCGTGTGGGGAAGAACACTTCAAGAACACGACGAGCGCCTAAAGGCAACGTTGGAAAGAGCAAGAGAATGCAATCTAAAGTTCAAGTTAGAGAAGTGCCACTTCAGGTCCACGAGTGTTGTTTACATCGGACATAAGCTTACATCGGAAGGAATCAAACCTGATCCACAGAAAATAGAAGCAATCGTGAACATGCCAGAACCACATGACAAGAAGGGAGTTCAAAGGCTTCTCGGTATGGTGAATTACGTGGGTAAATTCGTACCGAACCTGTCAGAAATCACGTCACCACTGCGAGAATTGCTCAAGAATGATGTGTCGTGGCATTGGTCAGAAAGACATGCAAGTGCTTTCGAAAAGATCAAAACCATTCTTACAAATACAGAGCATGGAATCTTAACCTACTATGATGTGACGAAACCAGTAAAGCTTCAGGTCGACGCCTCAAAATCCGGGTTGGGAGCGGTACTTACCCAATCGAACATGCCAGTTGCATATGCCTCGAGATCTCTAACACCGGCTGAGACTAGATATGCTCAGATAGAAAAAGAACTCTTGGCAGTCGTGTTCGGGTGCAATCGTTTCTATCAGTATATCTATGGCAAGCAAATTATAGTTGAATCAGATCATCAGCCTCTCGAAGCCATTATGAAGAAACCACTGGATAAATCGCCAATCCGCTTGCAAAGAATGCTGCTGAATCTACAAAGTTATGATGTTGAGATAAAATACAAACCTGGCAAGGAACTATATTTAGCTGATACGCTGTCGAGAGCCCATCTATCTAATTGCAAATCCGAAGAAGAAACACTGGATTTGGAGTGTCAAGCAATTTCCATGATTTCATCACTAGCTGTATCGGATGACAAGTTAAGGGAGATTAAGGAAGAAACGAAGAAAGATGGGACAATGCAAACACTAGTAAAATTTATCAATGAAGGCTGGCCAAGTCACAAAGATCGTCTCCCAAAGTCATTACAGCCACTATGGAACTACAGAGAAGAGCTGACGGAAATCGAAGGCGTGGTATTCAAGAGTGATAAGATTTTCATTCCACCCTCGCTACGAGAAAATGTTCTGAAGAAGATTCATCAAAGTCACATGGGTATTGAGAGAAGTAAACAACGTGCTCGTGAATTAGTTTTTTGGCCAGGCATAAACAAAGAGATCGAGTCAGTCGTCAAGAATTGTTCTGTCTGTGCCGAGTACAGATGCAGCAGTCAGAAAGAGCCAATGTTTCCGCACGAAATTCCCAAATATCCATGGCAGATCGTAGCAACTGATATGTTTTTCTGGAACGGTGATGATTATCTACTGGTTGTTGACTATTACAGCAGATTCTGGGAGATGTTCAAGGTCTCAAACACAAAAAGCTCCACAATAATCGCCAAGATGAAAACCCTTTTCGCAAGACATGGGGTGCCAGAAGTGGTTAAATCCGATAATGGTCCACAGTATTCATCTGGGGAGTTCACCGAATTCGCCAAAACGTGGGGTTTTAGACATGTAACTTCGAGTCCTTTGTATCCACAGTCGAACGGCCTAGCGGAAAGAACTGTTCGAACAGCGAAATCAATTCTAACGAAAGCTCGAAGAGATCATCAGGATCCAAATTTAGCTATATTGGAACATCGAAATACGCCGATCAACGACGTTGGATCACCAGCGAGATTGAGTATGGGAAGAAGACTTCGGTCAAGTATGCCATCCTCAACTGATCAGCTCCTTCCAAAGACGGTGAATCCAGCAATAGTCCAGACGAGGCTCAAACAAAAGCAAGCGCAACAGAAAAAATACTATGACAGATCATCGAGACCCTTGGAACATTTATCTGAAGGCGATGATGTTTACGTTCAGCACGAGGGTAGATGGAAACCTGCTATTATCACAAGCAAAGCGGGAACTCCAAGAAGTTTCAATATTATGACAGAAGATGGTGCCCAATATCGAAGAAACAGAATACATCTGAGGAAAGCTTATGATCGAGTTTCGCAGTCCTCGTCTCCTGAGAAGTCAACCGAAAGTCCATCGAAAGAAGAAATCAAGGTTAACTCGCCGATTAGAAATGAACAATTACAGTATCAAGAAACAAGAGAAGACAACAAAGAAATCCTTAGTTCTACCGGTGAGACAGCATCGCCAGTAAAAACAAGATCAGGACGGATGATAAGGAAGCCAACTCGGTATAGGGACTATGTTTAACATTTCTCATTAACTTAATTAATATGAGTTTCCAAAGAACACTTACGTACGATTAAGATACTATATTTATTTAGTTTAATCCATACTACTTAGAGATATAACTTTTATATATGAAAAACTCGAACAAAAATAGCAAGAAGTGAACTTTATAATTAGGGGATATGCTAGCTTTAAAAAGGGGGGTTGTAATATATTCATGTTAATATGCACTATAGTTATTATGCTAATCAGCATATATAAACACTGGTCTGTAGCTTGTACATGTAGTTAGTACTATAATTCAAATATATAACATAACAATATCCTGCAGTTCATGCCAGTAGGTAATAGGGATAAGATTCAATTTTTTCAATCGAAGAGTGTAATCTACATTAGAACTGTATGGTATGCTAAGAATATATCTCGTTGCACGCCTTTGTATGCGCTCTAATTTACCAATTAATTGGACGAACTGCGGAGCACACACCTGGGTGGCATAACCTAAATGAGGTCGAATCAGTCCTAGATAGAGCGTACGCCTGATTGATACACCTTTGATATAAATGGTGTTTCGCTTAATATATCCTAAAAGTTTATTGGCCTTGCCAGCTTGTTCTGAGACTTGTTTATTCCAAGTTAATTTGTTTGTAGTCCATACACCTAGATCTCGTTCATCTTCAATCTTTTCAAGATCAGTATCAGTAAGTCTATATGTTGTTGAAACCGCCTTGATTTTTCTAGTAACACTCATAGCTTTGCACTTCGTTGCATTAAAAACAAGGCCTGAGGCGACGGACCAGGTCTGCAAGCTGTCAAGATCAGACTGTAGCAAATTAGTATCCTCTAGATTTCTAATTTGTCTGCCCATCTTTATATCATCAGCATACATTGTAGCACGACTATTAGAAATTGATTTTGGCAAATCGCTAACGTACAACAAGAAGAAAACAGGACCCAATATGGATCCTTGGGGCACCCCGGAAGTAACAGGAAGCTCATCCGAAGTAGCACCCATAACGGTAACACGTTGTCGACGTTCAGATAGGTATGAGCGAAACCACTTAAGCAAATTTCCACTGAAACCAGCCTTGTATAATTTCTGTATCAATCGATTGTGGCTGACCATGTCAAATGCCTTTGACATGTCCAAATACACAAGATCTATCTGTTCTCCGTGGTCGAGTAATGAACCAACATGATCTAGCGCCTCGAGTAAATTAGTAACACACGACTTTCCAGTTAAATATCCGTGTTGACATGCTGGAATTGACTTATACAACTGATCTTTGATGTTGTTTAATATGCAACGTTCTAAGACTTTTGAAATTACTGACAATAGAGATATTGGACGATAGTTTTCTACATGTTCTCGTTCGTTCTTTTTATAAATAGGAACCATGTTGGCTAATTTCCAATCCCTCGGCATTTCTCCAGTCCTTAAAGATTTATTAAATAATTTGCACAAAGATGGTGCAATTACCGATGCAGTTTCTTTTAGCAGTTTGGCAGGAATTCCGTCTGGTCCGGTAGCTTTACTAATATCGAGAGTTTTAAGAATTTCTTGCACTTCTGTGACTGAAAGAATCAACGAATCAACCAACGTGTCGGCAATACATTCTGTAACTTCGCACGATGCATCTAGACGTGAGTCCTCTGTGATGGTATATACGGAACTAAAGTACCTGTTAAACAAGTTCGCAATTCCCTCTGGAGTGTCAGCATTTTCTCGCGGATTTGACTGCTCTGCTGTTTGATGACTGTGTATTTCATTTTCCATAGAAACTAAACCAGGTATATCTCTGGATTTTGATTTTAATTTCAGAATTGACCACAAGCGCTTTGGATTTGTTCTAAAATCAGCATTTGCCAACTCAAAGTAACTTTCACGGGCTTCTTTAAGTGACTTC